TTAATATTTAATTTTTAGTTGTACACACACCTTTATTTTGTTTATTTATTTTTATGTGGTGATGAGGATCGAACCCAGGGCTTCACGTGCTAGACGAGCACTCTACCACTGAGCCACCACCCCAGTCCAACCAATGGTTTCTTACATATGACCACAAAAGCACAAGCAAACAAAAAATACACTGGGCTTCATAAAAATCAACTTATTTGTCCTTCAAAGGACATGGGAAAGCAAAAAGATACCCGATAGTCAGCTGGTACGTCAGAGAACCTTTAATAAGTTTTTTCTATGCTGAGACCTTCTCTAATTCACCAAATGGGCTTTTCCTTCTTAAAAATTATAAAAAAGAAAATAGGATGCAAATGCACAATTTAACAACAACAAAAAAAACTAACATTTAGAATTACTACATCTTTAAATGTTAAATTATTGAGGGTGGGTTAGGAATAGGCTAAAARAGGTAAGAATGCTTTATTATTGATGTTGCTTGACAGAATATAACAAAGTAATGATTAAAATGCTACATATTTAGTATAATAAATAGAATATTTCTTAAAGACTTTGTTTTTTCATTCAAAGCCAGACACTGCCTACATTTTTTAAATTCTTCATTGTTTTACTAATATGTAATCCATTAAGAGTACTTTTACTTAGAAACATTCATTTTTCCTAAATATTTTACTTTTAACTGTAGGAGGAAAATGTCAGCTCTTCTCAAACTGAAACATATTTCTTCTGATCAGTAGTCAGACGCGTTATCCATTGCGCCACTGGCCCGTGCTTGACACATATTTCTTAAGAGAATGTCTTCAAATAGGGAAGGCAATCTAATACTTTAAATCACCAAATTTATATAAACTATTGCTAATGCTCTATTTCTACCAATAACTAAGAGGTTTTTCAAACCCTAAATATTCAAGGACAAAAGGTACATGATAGACATGACTTTTATGAGACTTATTGTTGCTGATGTTCAAATTCTGTGAATTTTAGTTGAACTTACTGACAAAAATTACCTATTTCTCACAAGTAAGATTGTGGACAAAGACACCACAGTCATAACAATCATATTCTATGCCTCAGCACTTCATTCTTTTATTACTTCGTTTTGATCTGAGATATAGCTGCAATCATTTTTTACCTTTTCTCATCATAAGATGATGTCAATGTCTTTTCTGATGGGTCTACATGGTTCTATCACTGTTTCCCACAAAGAGACAAGAGATACCAGGTGACTTGAGGCTGTATCATACCAGGCCTTGAAATGTCTGCCTTGTTTACAAGAACACTGAACAACTACATAAAAACTTTAAATACTCCAAGGCCACCATGCAGAAAGGCCACCTGTAGGCGCTCCAGCTGGGTCCAAGCTTCTATTAATCCCCACCATGGAGACAGACATGTGAATAACGAAGCCATYTTGGAAGGAGACTCTCCATTTCTGACTGTTGTAATCCCTGGCTTTATGCTTTTCCCAGATGTGGCCTAGATATGCAGCACTGACAGTCCATCTCTGCTGTGTCATGTCTGAATTCCTAACTCATAGAATCTGTGCAAAGAATCAAATGCTTGTTGTTGTATGTCCCTCTATTTGGCCTGATTAGTTTCCCAATATTGGATAACCAGAGCACAGGCTAACAACCGAATTGAATAAATATTAGAAGAGTGTCAACTTTTGAGCAAATGAATCCAAAGCCTAGTAAAGACACAGTCACAATCCTAAAGGAATCTGCAACCCAGAAGATTCCAACTTGCTATCAGCTTGCCAGRATTATGTAGTCTGCAGAACAGTATGTAGCACACAGTACACAATATCTGTTGAATGAATGAATGAAGAACTATATTATGTACAGTTGAGTTTTAGAAGATAAAACACTTCTACTTGAATTTTAACATTTTAAATTGAGACCAGAGAAAGGCAAGATCRTCATCATTTGTGTTCATATGGAATACAAAAATCTTATTAACTTTTATAATTTAACATTTTATATTCGTATTAGTAATCACTCKGTACGTACTGTTTATAGCAGGCAAATAACCACTTTTCCCAACAATCCACCTTTACATTGTATCTTTCACATTTAGGTTTAAGATACCTTGGAAATGAATAAATTCGGACCTCAACTATTAATAAGCACACCTGGAAAATGAACGTCCAAAAAGATGTAATTGTTTATCAACTTATAAATAAAAAGGATAGTTTGCAATTCCTAATTTTTTAAATCAGCATCATAAATGTTTTAATAGAAAATACTCTATATTAAATTCTTATATGCATGCTAGTTCAATGAATATTCCTAAAAATCTAAGAAATTTTTAACTCACTTCTCTGAATTAAGACTTTGTTTGGTTCCTCTAAATCCCATAATTAATATTGATAAAAGGTCACAAAAGGCTAGGTATGGTGGCATACACCTGCAATCCCAGCAGCTTGGGAGGCTGAGCAGGAGGATTTCGAGTTCAAAGTCAGCCTCAGCAACTTAGCAAGTCCCTAAGCAATTCAATGAGAACCTGTCTCTAAATAAAATATAAAAAGAGAGCTGGGGATGTTGGCTAGTGGTTAAGTGCCACTGGATTCAATCCCTAGCACTAGCACACCCCCTCCAAAAAAAAAAAAAAAGGCACAAAAGAATCTTATACCCTAAGAATAGATCTATGAAGAGAAATAAAAAGCTCAAAGTATTCTATAGCCATAACGAGGYCTGACCCAGATTAGCATATTCCAAAGCCTGGTGCCAAATTCTAGGAAGTCTTATGTTCAGATTCAATGCCTACTGGTGACAAAAGACCCACAGGAAAATTAAGACTGAACTACATGCATTTTCAAGTCTATCCATYCTATTTTCTCTTTTTTCAGGATCGATGACCAAACTCAGGTTCTTGCACATGCTAGGAAAGCACACTGCCACTGAGTTAAATCCCCAATCCTTAGCCTATTCTTTTTAGGCCTCCATTTTCAGACAACATAGTTTAGATATAGGCAGTTTCTCTGTAAACCTAAGCATTTCTAACATTTTTTTAAATTGGAATTATGCTTTATTTACATTAATCCTTCTTATTTATTTATTTATTTATTTATGCACTACAATTTCTAACATTTTAATAGCATCTCATTATTTTTCATTCTTTCCTCATATGTCTTAATTATTTCTAATGAGTACTATAATACCATTTAGGAACAGAATGAACTTGTATATTCATGGATATGTATAGTAGTTGGGCACATGATCTGTCTGTGATAGGGTTAGCATGGCATATTAGAAGGTAAACAAAAATACTAAAGTTGAAGTCTAACTCTATCATAAACTAGCTATAAATTTTTATGACAGTTTCCTCATTTGTAATATGARGGGGTAAGATTAGATAATCTCCTTCAATTCTATGATTTTATATTGGTTTAATGACAAGTCATTGCCTGCCAGACTCATATCTAAATGCAATATGATGTATTTGCATTGTTTTTTTTTCACAGCAATCCAGATACCCACAGATTCAAACTGTGCAAATGGCTTACCTTGAAGTTAAGAAATCAATACATTTATTTCTGTTATTTTATGTGGTCCTATAAACCTTTTTATAAAACCTAGTGACTTCTCTTTCTTTCATATTTTAATCCTTCCTATAGCTTAAATAATTTTAAAGATCATCTTTTATTGAAATCAAATTATAAGATTCACTAATCACGAGGATGTGGGGGAAAATGGCATACTCACACATTGCTGGTGGGACTGCAAACTGGTGCAGCCACTAAGGAAAGCAGTATGGAGATTCCTTAGAAAATTTGGAATAGAGCCACCATTTGACCAGCTATCCCACTCCCCAGTCTGTACCCAAAGGATTTAAAATCAGCATATTACAGCCCACATCAATGTTTATAGCAGCTCAATTCACAATAGTTAAACTGTGGATCCAACCTAGATGCCCTTCAATATGAATGGATAAAGAAACTGTGATACATATACACAATAAAATATTATTCAGCATTAAAAGAGAATAAAATGTGGCCTTTTCAGGTAAATGCATGGAGTTGGAGAATATCATGCAAAGCAAAGTAAACCAATCCCAAAAAAACCAAAGGCCGGATGTTCACTCTGATAAGTGAATGCTAATCCATAATGGGGGGCAGGAACATGGGGGCAGAAAAAATGGTGGAATGAGATGGACATCATTACCCTAGGTACACGTATGACTGCACATATGGTGCAATGCTACATCATGTATAGCCAGAGAAGTGAAAGGTTGTGCTGCATTTGTATAAAAYGAATCAAAATGCATACTGCTGTTACATACACCTAATTAGAATTAAAAAAAATTAAAAAACTATTGAATATCTTGAAAAACCATGAGTTAAAAAAAAAGATTCACCAATCAGCTAACTAAATTACTTAACCACTCAAGAAGCTTTTTAATCAGAAAAAAAAAATCCTGTTTTCCAACTCCTAGTTCTTGTTCARTTTAGCCTCTGAATAGACTCTACAAGATCTTAGCAAATAAAATCATGCACCCTATTTCCATACTTATTTTTCYAACAAAATTACCATTTTTATTAGTTGTATAATATCCTACTGGATTGATACACTACTGTAATTTTAATGCTTCTCTACTTGTAAGTAATTATTTTGACTACAATTTAACAAACTATACACAAGATTGCAGTAAATATCTTTATATATAAATTTTCCTTCCTTTGGATTATTTTCTTAGGATAATAAACTAGATAAAAGCATATTTACATTTATAGCTATCACCCATTTGAATTTGTTTTGTATTATAGTAATAAAAATATTAGTAAGTATAAAACTAGCTTCTCACTATAATTTCTATATTCATGTTTTTGAAAAATCATCAAGTTAAATATTATCCCATGCAACTTACTGTATTAGATTTGTCTATTTATTTACTGCTGCTTGGTCTGTTTTTAACCATTTTTTTGTTTATTTGCTTCAACAATCTTTTTATAAAACCTAATTGTTTGTCTTTCTTTCCTATTTCTGGCTTACCTGTTTTTAAGATGTGCCTCCAGATCACAGCGTTGCATTACATCTTGGCACACTGAAGAAAATGGACATAAAACTAATAATTTGTCTAGAAGTTTATGAACTAGAATGCTAGATTTCTTACACAATTTGAAATGAAGTCTTTTGCGGTCCAATGGACAGAAATCTTTCTCTTGTAAAAAGTTTCTGAGGCACTTGTAGCAGAATGTATGTCCACAGGGCGTGTCTAGTGGCTGCAACAGAGGCTGAAGGCAAATATGGCAGACGAGGTCATCATCCACTTCATCCTGGTAATTATATAAGTGGTTTTCTCTTGTCCAGTGCTGTTGGCCACACTCAAAACACAGGGGGTTTAGGGAAGAACAGGAAGTCTGTTCCACTGATACCATCTCATCACTTGTTGTTCCCATTTTGAATCAAATGATGCAGTTTCTGTACCCTCATATATTAGACTTCCTCTGGAGGTTTGGTATTCCTTGAATAGACAGGGATGTATCTGATTATAGCCCAAATCTGTTTTTCTAGATAAACAATAAAAAAAAAAGTAATCAGTATCAATCAAGATAGGTTTAAAACAGTGAATATARCATTACTAACATTTTTAGTACAAAATTAAAGTTTAGATCAGGTAACAAATTAGCCATAAAGATAAAGATAATTATTTCATAATTTATGAAATAAATTAATTTCCTCATAGCCAAGAATGACTTACACACTATTAAGATGTTGATGAAAAAAAGAACTTGKGATTAAAAGCAAAGATACCATGTTATATGGTATGACATAAGAAATAATCAATTTGTTTTACTGATTGAAATCCCCAAATATTTCACTGTCCAATGGTAGTTTTAAAGTCAATTAATATTCATAATATTCTAACAGTGCATTCTGTGGTATATTATGTAATACATTTATATTTGCCATCCCAGCCATGTCTTCTTACTTCTGATTTGGTACTRTACAAAAGATAGTGTGTTTGAAATGTAGCCTTAAGGATAATTCAGTTTGTTAATAAAGTGACCTTTTGCTCTGCACTGTGGGAAAAAACTTCAAAGCATGATTTCAATATTCTCCCTCATATAAAACTGATTATAGAAAGACACATCTGCATAGCATATAAACATCTGTACAAACTGTTAGGTAAAATACTATTTTATTCCATTAAATGGAAAAAAATCTGCTGTAATTCAATTAAATAAGACGTGGTAAATTTCAATTCTACYTCACATTATTCCATACTTTCATTAGGTCTTGCTTACTTGGAGTGTATATATTCTCGCAAACACAAGACTCTCAGAACATTCTCCTTCAGTTTAGTACATGCCTAGTAGGGAACATTCCCCTCATATAAAGGCTTCCATACTCCTTCTGCCGAAGCACCAAGGGTTAAAAAATTAGATTCGATCCCTGATACAAAAAAAAAMCATACATATATATGTGTGTGTATATATATATGTATATATGTATATACATATATGTGTGTGTGTACATATATACATTTCCAATCCAAAGGCAGTAGCTCTTCATATCCTTTCTGTAAGTATTTACAGAGTCTCCAGTATATGCTTAACACTGAAGCCCGGCAGAGGAAGAGGACAGTTAAGAAAACCAGCTATTAAAATTCTGTGTAATAAGTACTCTAAAGAAAGTGATACACAGGGTCTTGTATGAATGTGGGAAAGATGAGGAGAACTGGCATTTAATTCCATTTGGCTTTGTGGCTGGAAATACTTTTAAAAGAGGAAGAAACAAAGACTGCTGAGTTGTGACAGGAAGCATTAACCAGAGAGGAAAAATGGACAAGGGCATCTGGGGCAAGACAATAGCATCAGCTAGTAGCATCAGTTACTTTTTCATAAGTCACAGGGGTTAGAAGGTGCACAAAACACTCAGGAAACCTGAAGCAGGTAAAACATCTCAGACAAAGAACATACATTGGGAAAGGAGAACTCGAAAACTTATTATCCCTGCCCAAGGACAGGAAGAGTAAGATAACCTATTGATTCTACTAGTGTTTGTATTTCAATAATTAAATTTTCCTCCAATCACATACAGATATTTACTATTTTATTTATTTAGAGTGCTTATTTTAAAACATTACATTTTAACAGATGTAACAAGAATGGTCATGAGTTTTAAGGGGATTGGGAAAAATTCTGGTAGAACAGTTTGACCTGATCTTAGATAAATCATGATTTTTAAAGCTATCCTAGTAAAATAACCTGTGGTCTAAATACCAACATTGAGAGAGCCAAGCCTTCTTTTATTTGGTAACCTATATGGGATTTGTTCTTTGCCCTTTTGAACATTATGACTTTTAAAATGTTAGTGTAAGCCAGGTGTAGTGGTGTACACCTGTAATCCCATTGACTTAGGAGGCTGAGGCAGGAAGATGTCAAGTTTGAGGATAGACTGAAACTCAGAGATAAAGTACCCCTGTTCAATCCCCAGTACCCAAAAGTGCAAGATATGAATGAGATTAAGGAGAGAAACATCATGTATCTCAGGAGATGGACTGCTTCAAACTAAGTATTCTAATACAGAATTTCTACAGACTCTTGTTTCCCTCTCAATTATGGAGAAAGTTCACATATCCTTCGCTTTGTTTTGAGTGTTTAATTTTTCTTTTCCTCAAGAAAATGCACTGCAGTTCTAGCCTCCCACATAATGACTAAGAAARCATTTATCTTAAGACTATTTTAGCTATTTCTAAATCTCTAACTTTAGTTCTTTATTTTTATTTTATCACAAAATCTTTTCATGAGGAAAATTAACATGTTCTTATTTAAAATACCAAATAATTGCATTATCTCCACCCCCAAAATACCTCTATGCTACCATGAAACAAGATTAAATAGAAACTGAACTGTGAGGCCCTACGGCCAAGAAGTAAGAGCACAGACCCAGAACTGGTCTGAGGGGCAAAGTCCTTGCTTGGTCACTTACTACCCTTGTGATTTTATGTTTGATCTGTTTCCTTCTCCAGTGAAAAGTGGGGTTAATAACAGTGCCTATCTCAATATAAAGTAAAAGTGTCGATTAAAACAATGCCCAACACATAACAGATGCAATATAAATGTTAACTATTATTAAAGAAATAATAGTTCTGACAAATTTTATGATGTGCCCAAACAACTCAAAATTAGTGAGAGAGAAGAAAAAACCCTWTCTTTCTTGCTTCTAGATATTATTACAGCAAAGAGGAAAGGTATCTCGTGAGTAAATTTTGTATAGGGGAAGACATCCTGGTCCCACAAAGACCATTTTCTCTCTTTTTGTGGTTTTCTTTCTTTGGGTAGATAATTTTCTTTCTGCTTTGTGTGAAGTCCACTGCACTGCCTCACACTACCCCTTTGGTAGGGTCTCTAAATTGTGAGCTTGCCCTGGTTTGCATGTGTCCCCCAAAGGCTCAGGTACTAGACCTTGGTCCTTAGTGTGGAGGTGTTGAGGTGGTGGTCTTTGGGAGGTAGGGCCCAGTGTTAGGGGACTAGGTCACTGGGGTACAATACTCAGAAGGCGTTAAAGTAGTTCTCCAAGGGCCCTTGCTAATTCCCACAAGAATTGCCTTAAAAAGAGTAAGCCTGGCCCYGACTCTCTCTGGATTCCCATTTCACCATGTCACCCTTCAGCAAGCAGTTGTTTTTCCTTTCTCTTCTATACTGTGATGCAGCTTGAGGGGGCTGACCCCTAGGCCAAACAGATGGACTTTTAGTCTTTAAAACTGTGAGCTAAATAAATCTCTTTTTAAAATAAAGTATTCAGCCTCATGTATTTTGTTATAATAACAGAAAGCAGATAAAGAACTTTAAGAGTTGGGCCTTCCATARAAGAAAAAGAAGCTCAATAATGTTGAAAGACCAATTGCACAACTATATTCTAATTCTTGGTAAGTTTAAGTGACCAAAATTATATATCAATATCTATCTTATCTGCCCAAGTTTATGTATAATTTTTATTTTAATTATTACATATAGAATCTATGAGCATAGTTTAAGATATTAAAATACAAGTCATTCAGTCTTGAACATTTCTCAAAATATAGAGACAAAATGTAGCATAATATGTCTTTACAAACTACATTATCTGTTTAGCAATACTCTAAGAGTAGTAAAGAAAAAAAACCTATTAAACTGGCTTCAATTATTACAACACATTTTAAATAATATATTGAAAAGTAGCCAGTGTAATGGAAAGGAAATTATAAGTCACTGCTTACTACTTAACCCCAGRTATGATTAACATGTTCACTCTTCCTGGTTTAGGGGACAAGAATATCCTGGTACGTCAAAGATTTCAGAAAGAACTACAGTTCACTATTAATATACAAACTAATATACAAACTAAATAGCATTCAGTTAATTTCTCTTGATATTGCTTTTGACTCAGATTTAAAGAGTCCTCACTGGCCCTAGCCTAGGAGATCCAGCTCAGAAAAAAAGATGATGAGCTAAGAGCTACCACAAAAGTATGGTTAGACATCTGTAATTGCTGTGACTTATCAGTGCCTTATGTGGAAGAACACCCTCTCAATCCCTCTGGCAAACTCCTCCCCCTCAGCCCACCTCCCTCCCTTAGGCTCCTGCAGCTCTTTACACACACACACACACMCCTACCTTTATTTCAGCACCTTCCATGCTGTACATTTGCTTATATGTTTCCTCTTTTCTTTGAGAGCACAGATAGTGTCCTATTTCTTACACTTACTATGCACTACAAATTTTTTTTCCTAAGCTCATATTTGAGCCAGAAATACAAAACTATATAAAATAAATACAAGAAAACTTTGAGCATTTATTTGTAGCTCTTCAAAGTAATCAATATATTGTACACTGTCATCTAATTTACATAGAATAAAGCATTACTCCCTTTAATCTTCAGAAGCCTGAAGAAAAAAAAGTGTCCTTGCTTTTGTATCACCTCAAGAAAATTTTAGTGTGTCACATACTAGCTTTGACAGCTGCCCCTTTAACAAATAAATAAATGAARCAGTCAAACCTTCTGGCCAGGATCTCTATCTACTCTGGAAAATTTGGCAGTTTCTTATTAAACTAACATACAACTACCATATGACCCAACAGCTGTATTCCTGGGCTTTTAACCCAGAGAGATTAAAACTCATGCTCACACAAAAACCTGCACACAGATATGTAAAACAACCARAATCTAGCCAGAATCTAGGAACAACCAGATCATCATTAGGTGGAAGGCTGCTAAACTGTGATATATATCCATCCCATGAAATATACTACTCAGCAATAAAAAGGAATGAACTACACTGATGCACAGATTTCCAAGTGTTACATGATATATAAAAGATGCAGGGTGGAGGATAAAAGGAGCTAACAGTATTCACTGGTTTAGTTTTATTGCTGTATTAAGTTTATCTGCTGGATACACAAATAATTTAACTGCTTCCTTTATATTACAGTAACMTGAGAAGTCTCCAAAGAATTAAGTGACTACAAAAAGCCAACGTAAAAGGTTGCATACTACATTACCCTATTTCTATAAGATTCTTGGA